TGATTTCCCTAACTTTATGAGAATTGTCAATGGAAACTAAGGGCTAAAATAGGAATTGAGGGAATAAGTCTTCTCCATCATGCTTGGAAAAAGGCAATAATAGGTTGTTCATGCTATCATTACTTCTACCCAGTGACTAGAACCAAAAAACAGGTGCATATATGTCATTCATGGTAGAACATTAATACACAAAACATGTATGAAAATAAATCGTAAACATGTGCTCTGGAGGCTGAGTCAGAGAAACACAAGTTTGAAAGCCGACTTGATTAGGAGACAGAATGTGTTTAAAAATTAAGAAAAATTGCAGTGTTGGTCATGAAAGCCATAGCCTTATATATACTAGCCAGGTATCATCCCAAGCCTCTGGCTTGAGGAAGCATCTTGATTGAATGCTGGGTAGGGCAAGAATTAAAATTTTCCACCCTGTATTGATCTACAGCAGGGATTAAAAATATTCCTCAACACTCTTGACAAAGTCATGTCCCTTTTCTTTGGTGTTCTCATAAATAATGCAAAAAACAAGGCCAATGATTAGCAAGAAAACATTATTTACAAAATTGGCAAGATATAAATAATCATGGTCCAACACCTGCACACTGGTCCTTCTGCCCATATCACAATCATGGGGAATGGTCCAGGAAGAACTTGATGCTGAAACTCAATATGAAGTTGGGGAGGACAATACAGAGGGTCTCCCAGTAATGAGATAACTGGACATCTAGTTGTATTATTCAATAGCTAAACTCCATTGTCATTTTCCCCTACATCTATTCCTTATTTATAGAATACCCAAGGATAATGTAGGAAGGCATCCCTGTTTCTAAATTTTCAAATCTTTTGTAATTTCATATTTTTGGAAATGTTTTCATACATTCTTTCTTCCATCTTAGTAACAAAGACTTTCTTGGTTTAAAGGAACTCCGTGACTCAGTTTCTTGAAAGATTGGCCTGCTCTACATGATATGACTGCACAATCTATCCTCTCTTTTTTCTAATTTATCTTTAACCCAAACTCCAAAATCTTCCTGCATCCCACATTTTTTTTACTCTACTATGATATTTTTGCTGCTCCACCCTGTCCCACTTAGCAACATTCTATTAATAACGAGTACTACTGTAACTTATTTTTTCCCCTTTATTCATACATATACCCACAATAGCTAACATGTCAGAGTAGAGAAAATGGAGTCTACTTTCCCCCCTAAAATAGTTGGCACTAAAAGGATGACTAATGACTGTTTTTAAATCAACTGCTACTCTATTTTCATAGAGAG